ATTTGCCCTGAATATTCATATTTCATTGAAAAAAGAATTCTTAACGCGTCCGAGATCAACGCTGAACATAACGTGAAATCGTAAATATTCAAGCATTCTTATATTTTCATCAAACCTATCATTAAAATTTATGTTACGATCAGAGAATCACTGGATATACATAGATATATGAGTTGGGCTGGGATCGGCTTACAGTCGTGTACCAAAAACTCGTGCACTCGGAGGGTTGCGAGTCGCGAGGAAAATACAGGGGGTATGTATTCACGTTAGAATCGTGGGGATGGCGCTCACACCCTCGAAGAGGAGGGTAATATTGTAATCTATGTGTGAAAGAATGCGGTGCGAGGAGATGAAAAAGTGGCGAACTCCAATGGCACCAGACCTAGAGTTTTAAGGGGGTAGTTTTCGGCGTCGATGCGCCAATGTTCGAACTCTGCGGTCATCCGGGGGTTGGAGATGCTTTCTGTCTTTTTTCCACTTTCTGGGCGATTCGCGAGGAGATGAAGTGCCGTGTGAACGTTGTGGGTGCGGTACGCGTATACGGAAACAATGACGCCTGTACCCAAATCCCTGCTTTCTATTCGCTTTTTTTCTTTTGCCATGGGGTGCCATTAGAACCCCGCGGCGTACCCATAAAAATATAACCCTCGCATTGTGCCGGTACCAAGCCGAAGGTAGAGATATTCCACTACGGAAACTCATACCCACTCACCCTCTTTCAATTTTTCCAATGAACATTCTTCATTTGCATTTTCTTCTGTGAATTTTTCACTCCAAGTTGAAAATATATGAATAAATGACAGATTTATTGTCTAGGATGGTCGCTGTTAGGACTCTATGTAACAGCGAATTTTCAACTTTATTGTTCATTTGTGTGCATTTGGAACAATGATGATTAATTCCGATTGGATGTTGATTGCAATATCACGAGTCAATTGGCTTACACTGCAGAAGGATTACAAAGATGATTGACTTCTGGAATTGAGAAGCATTGTCATTTGTTCGACCGTGGAAAATTGAAATGACAAAACAGTAATTTGATTGAATGTCAGTTTGACCATGGGCTTGAATTGAAACTGGTGATGCAGCATCAATCCGGGTAGAATTGTCGATTCATGTAAATTGTCACAATACACTTCATACCAATTTTTTTTTTTTTTTAATATATGCATTCAACCAGAATTTCCCCACCACCTGGGGGCATTCCAGCGGACCGTGTGGCACACATCGAATCTTTCCATTGTTCATCCGGGAACGAGTCGTATTATCAATTTTGATATTTTACCAACTCCATTGTATCCCCTCGATGAAACTCATCTGAATCACCGTCACGTCATCTATCTGTCAGTGATCTGATTTTTCCTGAAAAAGAAGAATGCACTCATCCCTCAAATTTCACCTACAATCGGAAAAAGTCATCGATGAAAAGTGTGAGTGAAGAACAAAAAAAAATAACCGGGGGAGAAAAGTAGAAGAAAAAAAAAAGTGAATGAAGAATACTTGAAAGAGGTGCTTGTGTCTAATGATGTTTGAGGAGGGGCTTTAATTTTTCATTAAGACAAAGTAGAACATCAAAGACCGTCTTCATTTTTTTATCCAATGCCCGTCATCCCAGGAATCGAGAGTGGATTGCCCGCGGCATTGTCGTTCACTGACTTGTCTCCGCTAAAAAAAATCCTTTCTCTACCTCGATCTATTGACATTCTGTAAATATCAGCAGTGATGCGTTCGAACCCCTTTGCCTTCCATTATCAAACACCCGTTAAAAAACTCTGAAAAATACATAACCAAGGAGTGCCATCTGTACCACCACCCCACAACGATCAATTATTACGAGATTGATTCTAACGAGTACACGTAACCACTGATACCCTTTTTTTCCTTCCTCGGTCTTATTCACCTCGAAAATCTTCCATTATTGTGATATTCACACTTATGTGGTTTTAGATCTCGCGTCGGTCGATATCTTAATAATGAATACAAGGGGGTTCACTCTTGTTGGCTGTTGTGAGATTGAAGAAGGGGTGTCCAGGGGGTTGTGTAGGAGTGAGGTGATTGAGGGGTACTAACAGGGACAGGGTGGTGCGTTACGATATAGATGTCTATATACATGTATAATGCTTATATACAAGGGGGGAAAAAGAGGGACCGCCATAGAGAAAACGAGGAGACGAATGCGGGGGTGGGGCGAGGTGGAAGATCATTCGCACCTCGGTGGTGTAATGAGAAAATTTGAAATATCGCACCCACCATCCCTTCAATGTATAACGAAAAAAAATATATATATAAATAACACTGTCGTAGTCATATCCGACTGATCCACCGTCTCCTTTCTCTGCCTCCTATCTGCCTTGTGAACCCCTTCCCTTTCCATTCCCTTCCTCATAGCACACTCCACGGAATTACTCATTCTAGTTTTTTTTCTTCTCAATTCATAATAGCTCATGCCTTCATGCCTTGAAATCCCACAAATTGATCCTTCCTTTTTATCCCCTTTCACTAGTAAAAGCAAAATGTACAAAGTAATTTGTCGAAAAGTTTAAACTTTTGGTTGGCGATCATCAGAATCGCAGCTGCAGTTGCACCAAAAGCCAAAAACCCAGCACCGAGTAATGATCGACTCGACCCCTGCATAAGGAGGCTAATGTCTAGCGTCACGAAACCCTATCGTTCTCCATTTTTTTTTTCACCTCTCATTTTTCCTTTGTTATAACGAGAAACTCGTATAATTTGATGTATTCCTCAGATTCTGATTGGAAGATTAACGACAGAATGATTAATTCCATCAGAGATGGGGATGAGGTTGGAGGTGGGAGGGGGAGGGGGAGTAATATTATCATTTCTATGCACATCGCGGGGTACATAGATGCACCACGTGGTTGTGACGATAGACGTTAGCATCGTCCAACTGGTAATGACGAACACATGCGCTTCTCAAACCCTCCAGTCTCCGTTATTCCAATCGGTCCGCAAGATCTGTATGTGTGTATGTGTTCTACATATGTTCGACTCATTAATCGGCATCTGGAGTCAATTAAAATTATCGTTAATTATTAGTTTGGCGGATGACTATTCATTGATTCGGAAAAATATAAATTAGTGGGCACTCGGTGATCGCTCGGTGATCGCTCTAATTTTTATTCAATAATAGTATTACTTCTTGAAATATTCAAAATAAATATTACAAGTCAAAATACTATAATGTAAACATATTACGCAATCATTATATTATTTTTTTTTATATTACAAATGAAAGGATTATTATATAAATTGTTTGCTGCGCAAAAGTATTAGGTATACTGGCAAAATACTGTAGCTCTCTTTATTTTTTAAATGATTTTTAAAGCGAAATCCCTAAGTGTAGTCCGATTTTTGGGATTTGCGGATGAGCTGGGGATTCCTTTTGTGTACGTTAAGCAATAATTTTGTAATATTTCGATATAATGTGTATTTTGTTGAAATATTTTTTGTTGTAATTTTTGGAGGGATTATTTGGAGTAGTTGTGTTATTTTGATAGGTAATTGGCGACTCAAGCGGGTAATTTGGCAGAATTTATAAAACATTTTGATATTTTACTTGATAATTTTCATCGAATGATTTCATTGAATTTTAGTCGGAATGATGGTCTCCATTCACTCTCGTGCAGGATGTTAGCCTGTCTCTATTGATACACATCCGTTCCCCCCGCGCAATTGGAATTGCTGCGTATTACAGGTCTCAAATACCTATTTACGCTCTCCGTATTATTCCGTAATTATCGATAACATCGTCAAGGTTTTTTGCCGGAAAACAATGGGTCATTACATTACTTATAGTCTATAGCTAAAAGCTGTACGTGGCACTAGATTTTTTTTTCAAACGCAAATGCTCTGATATCTTGAATATGTTTGGGATATCAATGCGAGACATAAGGACGATTTATAGCTATTTCTTGTACTTCTGGGAGGGAGTGATCGGTGAAATAATGGAGAAATAGTTTCAACCAGTTCCATATATGATTTATGAAATTTATTTGCCAACTTTAGACACGTGGCAGGTTACCGCACTTATGTTCAATCATATTGACCGGTTGAACAGTGGTATGGTATCAGGGTGTATAGACACTATTGAATCACGTAAATATTCAACTGATTTTCCTCCATTTCAACTGGTGACAAATTTTCCAATACTGTCCATTAAATGACTCTTTCAATCAAGTGAATTATTTCAAATCCCTTCTGAAAATAAGACGACTGAAATAAACGATAATTGATCATTTTGGGAAGAGATTGACGTTTGAACCGATGATCAATTCTTACTTTTCATTCGTCTAACAATTAGCTGCTCGATGAGCGTTCGTATTTATTTGACCTCCTCTGATAATGATCGATAAACATGTGAAAATATTCATGATTTCCAATGGGGTGAATGCACCCACTAAATTTCATCATGTTTGTTTTCACCCCGCTAAAACTCTTTATATCTCGGATATTCCGGGGTTCTTAAAATATTCGCATTTCATATGAATTAATTAACTGAGCGTTTGAAGTTATAGCCCCGCGAAACCTTACTCCAATCTTATACGTACAACCTCTCCCTAAGTCTATTTTTGTTTAAAATCCCATCTCATTTCTCTCTCTTTTCCTTCTTTGCCCTCTCTGCCTCAAACATTATGATTGATTTCAAGTTTGTGACTATTCGCTGGAAATACTGTTACCGCAAAGTCTCGCGGATGGAATTCAGGATGGAATTGTTGATGGAAATGATCATAGACTGTGGACGAAATGTTGTTTCCAAGACGGTGGCGAAAGACCAGTGGCTATTTTAAAGTGCGATTGAGACGCGTAGACCATATTGGCGCCGCATTAATCGTAAATTCACTAGGAGGACATATAAACCCTCAGTGTTAATCTCAATTTCCCTTTGACCAAATAAAAGCTGCCAATGTACCATTCATCACCTGATCTAATTTCAAAACAATTTTCACTGAATAGAATATTTTTTTTTCATTTTATTGCAGAGAGCAACGCTGGCTGAGAACGAGGTGACCACGTTGAAGGAGCAGCTTGCTGCACTGACTGATGGTAATTCTAAGACTGAGGGACAACAGCAGAAGTCCCAAAATGCACAGAGCACAGATACAAGTCATGATCAAAGTAATCCAAGGAGAACTCCCAACAGTAACTTGGAGCAGGAGCTTCAAGCCAAAGATAAAGAGGTAAATTCACTTGTCAATTAAAAAATCATCATTACCTCAAATGACGTACTGAGAGAATGACACTCTTGTATCACTTATTGAGCCACTTCTTTCTACTCTGTGAGGAGTACTATTTGGTTTATTTCTGTCAATGTCACACATTTCAATTTACTCTATGAATGGCATAGATACAATAGATGGAACGTGTACATGAACGTGTGCAAATGCAAGAGGGGCTCAACACTTTCTCCCTTTCGCCTCGCACATTCAACCCCTTCTCTGTACCAACAAACACCTATAGACTGAAAACAACTACCATGGCGATGGTAATATAACAATGGATGTTGAATACCGATCGACGTATTACCAGATGCTATTCACTTTTTAACCTATCACCCTGATTGACTCGCACAATCCTCCCATTTTCCACTTAAGCTATACCCACAAATTCCGCATTACCACAGTAATTACCATTGCATTATATCGTTACTCTTCTCTTCTCATCCATAGCTTGAACGCAATACTCGCTGAAACCCAGACATCCTCATTCAGGAAATAAAAATTCAAATCCAAATGATATTAAAGATGCAGTTTACTTGCACTCGATGTCAGTATATGAAAGTTCAATAGTCACGCATGTGTATTTTTGGATGGAGACATTTTGGACGTGCCTTCATTCCCCAGAATGCGACACCAACGAACCCGCGACGACGAGTGAAACTTATGCGGGACACAGCGAGCGTATATTAAATAAGCGATGGAAAGTGTCATTTCAATATAAATCCTAATATCGTTTAACGACAATTGGCGATGCTATAAGTGGACGATGGGTGTCTAAAAAAAATATGTACGCATAAATAGTGGGTAGTAAGGTTGTGAGTAATTTTCACCGGCAATGATACCGTCCGCATTTACGTCTGTACGGTAAATAAAATCAAAGACATATTCAATGTGGGTAAGTGAATGCGAGACCATTTGCCACAACGTTGTGTCACGCTCAAAATAAACCCTCAAGATATAGAAACCAATCGTAAACGGTATCACGAGAATGAAAAGGAAATAAATTGACTGGGCAACGGGAAAGGGAGGCGGGTGGTATATTTTGTTTGAAAAAAATAACTGATGAAGAAGCTGAGAAAGCCACACTCACTGATAATCGAGTGTTCTCGTTTTCTCGCTATTTTACTGTCAACGATTCACGTTGATTACTCGGAATTTCTGGTGTATTTATATACTACACATCATTGGGAATCATCGTACGTCTATTAACCATTGGGTTATGGTAGATGGAATGACATTAATTCGTGCTGATATTATCAGTCTCGAATACCCTTTCCAATATTTTCCCCGTTTAATACGACGATTTGCTCCTTAAATATACTTCAATGATATTTATAATGGCACGTTTTCTAGGTGGTTAAAAGAGTTGAAAAATAAATATATTGCTGTGCCCACCTGGCATAAGTAGCTGAGGATAAGAGCAGTCGTATGTTTACTTTTAACGTCTTTCCTTGGGTGTTACGTACTCTTAACCGGCTGTTAGCCCTTTTGTCCGGTAGTATCGTAAAAATTACGGATAAATATATGTCCCGTAGATTTTTAACCGTCAAATCCAGTGTATTAGCCTTCTCTTTAACGCAAAATCTTTGCTAATGGAGAATTTAAAAAGATATATATTTTTTTTCATATTTGAAGAGTAATAAAAAGTGGTGAAAATGGCACTTCAAGTTCAATAAGTATTCCTCTCACTGGCAATAGAATGGAAGTTTGACTCCAGTGCGGCGGTTACGCAAAAGTTGAATCTCCCCAACCACTTGATGGTGAATCGTTTGCTCAACGCCTTTGGTCCGTTGTAATTCCAAGTACCGATAATCGTCAATCCCCTCAATCCTTCTCCCTCCTCACTCATCTTCTTCTTTCATCCCTCTTTGCATTCTCCGTAAAATGTGCTCTTAGCTGCAAGTTACCCTCCATCTCCCAACTCGGCATAAGAATTCTCACTACCCCGGATGACACAATCTCTGTATTGAGCTATCGACAACCACTCTTTGGCTTTCCCCCATCGCTTTGATATTATTGTAATTTGTTGCGGGAAATCGAGGGAACAGGATGACATTTCGCCGATAAAGATTATCGACTTCCTTCCCGCCCAGTCATTTCGTTTCAAAGTACAGCAATGTTCTTTACAGAACAATCAGTGCATTTTTATTTGTCCGCTCGTATCTGTATTTCAAAATGAATAATTTCAATAATTTTTTCTTGTCACCGCTGCATAACGCAGGATGATTCAATAACGAATGAGGATATCCATTTGAATGAAAAGAATGTGAAACAAAACGACCTTTTATTCCATTTTATGAAAAGAGAGAGTTACTGCGGGGACGAGTAATTATATTATTGAACAAAGTTTCATTCAATCGACCAAGAAAAAGGCGGGAAATGATGAAACCCTTGGTTTCCGCCCCAATGCGTGACCGTCTAAATCAATTGAAAACTAATTAGTAAATAACTAATGAACGGTACGGCTGTAATTATCACGGAAATTGATAGCCAAACCTGTGGCATTAGTGAGCGGCTATGTATTTTTAAATATCTACTTCAAAGTACTTCTCGATAATTCATGGTTTTGAGTTTCTAAATCAAGAATATCATGGTAATGTTATTTTTATCATTGTACTCACTGGGTTTAGCATAAGAATGTGAGCGGCGATGTGAAGATTGTCGAGCCCCGAGGTATATGAGACTTCGAACGAGGGGATTGCACGCTGCCAAGGCAAATACGAATCGCGAGTGTTTCAAAACAAGATTGGCCTAATGTACCTACCGCAGGTTGTAAGAAAAATAAACTGACCCGCGCCAATCACTACTTTGAATAAACATTAAAGTTTATTATTTCATTTACATCGATATCGCGTTAATAGCGAGAATTTTAGATCTATTCAAGGGTAAGTGGTAGTTAATCGAGTTTGTTTTATCCATTATTCAAATTAACGGACCAACAAATTTATCAATTTTTTATCTTACAATATCGTCAATTGGAACGTACCAGAATACCCCTGGCCCCCCAGTTTGGGGGAACAAATTATAGACAATAACACGGAAATAATTAATATAATGTTCATTTGAATGGCATGGGATATAGTTTAAGGGTATAGAATGAAAAATATCAATCGCCTCATCCCTCGGTGTTTGGAGTTAGAAAATAATTAGCAAGAATTATGAATTACCGGATGAAGTAATTAATAGTCAGCCATGATGATAATAACGTCAATAATAAATACAGTGTTAGGCCATCTATTTGCCTTGATAGGGAGATTTACTGATGATTAAGCGATAAGGAGCTGAATCGAGACTGCGCAATGGCACGTGCGCCATTCGGGTGATAATAAAATCGCGACAAACACTGTTCACGACGCCAAATTGATAATTTTCCTTATCAGAAATACATACATCTGAGAAATAACACTAATAAGCCATTCGATTTTTGCCTCAATATTATCTCCTTCAATTTCGATTATTACTATATGGTTGGTAAACACACTCCGGGCAGCAACACATTCCTTATTCAGACTCATGTCAACTGGCAATGATAACAAAAATTATTTTTCTGAGGGTCAAACTATTTTAAATGAAATATGGAAACGTACTTTGTTATTTCTCCGATAATGAGTTACTCAATCTTCCTAATGTCATATGCGGAATTGGAAGAGTACGATAATCTTTTTGGTACCAGGGCCTTCTGATAAATTACAAAAACCAATTGCTCTGAGCGATAGAAATAAATACATTTTTCTTGACACATGTTCTATCAAAATGGACAAAAATTATGAATGTAGAATTTCGGGTGGGAATTATTGGAGAGATTGTGAAAGTGTTACAGTATTGTTTGAGGAGATTTTTTTATGAGTTATGAGGTGGTATGAGGAAAAAGAGGAAAATCATTTTATTTGGTTTGTCGGGGATTTGAACAATGAAATGTTTCGACTTTGTGGAGTGGTTTTGCGAGGGCCTGTGGGTTTGAAACTCATCGAAAAGGATTCTCGTGGCAAGGGTTCAAGAGGGAGGAATGGCCGTGTAAAAGGGACTGGGCTGGATGGAGAGAGAAAATTAAAAAATGAAATATTTGGTCTTGAATTTTTTTTTGTCCCAAGTTTTGTATATTTTTTGCCAACGTTCTGCACACTGTGCACATTCTTCTCCTTGAAAATATTTATTTTTATTGCATCGGGAAAAATCCCCACATCTGGATCTAACTGTGAAATTCGTTAAGGTTATTGTTGACCACGTGGTGTCCGAGGTGAAGCCTTTTCTCCATAAATATAAAAATCCTCCCCTTTTTTTGTACCTCAAACGACCGGGAAATTTTTAATCCCTTCATTGTCCCTTTGAAGTCGAAAACTTTTGCCCCGATAAAAACCGTTACTTTCGCAAAGTAACGGAAGGGTCATTTTATGACTTTATTACTGGTACCCCGTCCCGGTAAAAGGTTCCAGGATATCCGAAGGTAGTTTCCGGCAACTATCCTCCCCTTTTCTTCGACCCCAACCATCTCCTCTCCAACCCCATTGGACCAAATGAATTTCTTAAAAATCGACGAATGAATACACCATTCAGTAAAAGCGCATCGGTCTAGTATTAACTTTGTGATTTCCAACATTTTAAATTACCGTCAAATCACCCAATTCCCGACAAAAGAAAATTCCTCAGCAGTTTCATCTGTGAAAACTTGCGAACATATACGAAGTAATAAAAAGTGCACCTAAATAAACACCAACCGCAGTTACTCGTCGAAGTAATTGACTAACCCAACATGACCCAATGTTTCCCCACGAATTACCAATTTTTCCACAGGTAATACTTCCGTTCAATATTTCACGGCTGATCATCCAAACCGAGTATTTCCAATAATACCAAAAATTAATTATCCCCGGAAAGTTTGTGAAAAATAAAAGCCGGCTAGCTGGTAAAAAAAAAATGAAAATAAAATTGAAACCAAATTTCTCACTGTGCAAATAAAAAGC